ATGGGGTATACATTTTGATTGTATTAAATTTTTTATTGAATCACAAATAGCAATTTAACAAATGTTTTTTGACCAAAGTATAACATCTTTAAAAGTATCAATTAAAACACAATTATATTCTGATGAATTTGGAATAATTTTAAATTTATTATTAAAATTCTTTGATCAATTGTTGTTACTTTAAAAAAATTTGAAGCGAATAACTCAACAATTTCAACTATTTATTCCTGATTTAATACAATTTTAACTAAAATTCAAAATGTTGATTGTGGTTATTTTGCAGAAATTCAACAAAAATTTCAATACTAATGGAATTATATCTATCATCCAATTATTACTATTGCATTTATATTGAACCCAAATTATATTGAAGAGAGTAAAAATGATCATGAACCTGCTTGTTTAACAACATTCACAAATTTTATCTCTTTTAAGTATTCTGATGAAGAAGCAACCAAAATGTATGCAAAATTATTAAAATTTCGTAACAAGCAAGCACCATATAATAATGAACTAATTTGGAATTCAGCTATTTACCTTAATCCTTCAACTTGGTTGTCTTCTTGGCCTTTATCAGAACTTCAAAAACTTGCAATTCGTATCTTGTTTATTCTAACTTCATCTGCTTTTGCAGAACATAATTATTCTAATTTTAGATATATTCATTCAAAAATTAGAAATCATTTGAACTCTTTCTCGTAGATCCCAATTTTATAAGTAAACATATAAACAGCACAAAATTAAAGTTTGAAAATCAAGTATGACTACACTATAACTAAATAATTATTACAGAATATCAATATAGTTACAAACAAAGACTATCAAAGATTAAACAGAACAAAGAAACAGCTTTCTGCACTCCAGTCTCTTTCTTAACCCTGTTGCCAACTAAGTCAGCAACTGATAAAAACAACAACAAAAATAACAGGAAGCATGCTATAAATGCTCAAGAAAAGAAAACACAATCTATACACGTCTACATAGAAACTGTAGCTCAATGAAAGAACAAAATAAGAAAAAAAAGCATAAAACTGTGGATAATATTTCTGCTTCTACACCACCCACTATAGACAACAATATGATCGAAGAAAAAACTAAGGATTTAGCAAATTCTAGCTTATTCCCAAATCTGACAGAGATGATATTATTACAAAAAACAATAACAAACCTGATCCAGAATCTGGAATAACCTATAATATACAACTTTCTCACAGATGAACAAAATAAGCAGATCCCACTCAAGAACCTTCCAAATCTGGTATAACCCCAC